GTTAAATACCTACCTAAATTACACAGTTTTAATCATGAACTATCCAAATTTTGGTCAAAAACTACCCCTATTACACTTTTTTTTATCAAAACCTACCCAAATTTTGTTTAAGAGCTATCAATATTATTTTTTATCTATATTTAGCTATTACATGACAAGTTTATGAGAAAAAATCGTTAACAATCTGGACGTTGTCTACTTGAAGGATCATATAAAAACATATTCAATACTTCAAGGACCAAAATGATGCAATTGAAATATTAGGGACCAAAATGAGACAAACCCCATTCTTTGAGGTCCTCTAGTGTAATTAACCCAATGATATACAATTCATAAAAGATTCAGTATTTTATGATACATAAATCTTATGTCTAATCATCTATGTGAATTTTTAGACTAAAACATCTTATTAGTCAATAATCATCAAATTTTTTTTATACATAATGTGTGCTTAATATATAATTTAAATAATTGCTCTCATTTTCTCAATTACTCTTTTTTAAAACTTTTATGCATCTTTTATTTTTATTATTATATTTGAAGTATAATTTTAATATGTCTAGAGTTGGTTATTATATGTTCTCAAATTTTTAAACTTTGTTAATCACATTTAAACACATGTTTATTGTTTAGTAGTAGATAAGTTCTAAAAAAGTGTCAAACATGTCACCAAAGAAGTGTCAGACACGTGTCCGAAATTAAAATTTTATCATTTAATTATAGACACTGATAAAAGAGTGTCAGACACATGTCTGAAGAGTGTCCAAAGAGTGTCGGTGTCCGACACGTGTCCGACACCGATACGTCACCTTCTCGAGAGTTTCCGTGGTTCATAGCTTCGTGATCTAGGAATTAATGTACCTTTCCCCATGAAGATATTTTGACAATCAAGCTGCTATTTTTATTGTAAATAATCCAATATTCCATGAGCATATCAAACATTAGGGTGGACTATCATTTTGTTCAAGATCTCCTAATGAGTAAGGAGATTCACTCCATATATATCAAGTCTTGTGATTAGCTAGGTGACATTCTTACCAAGTCATTAGCTCAGTCTGTCTTCAGTAATTTATGTTCCAAACTAGGTATTTTTTACCTTTATGCTCCAGCTTGAGGGGGAGTGTTAGAGTTCTATTTTTTTTTGTATTGGTCATATTTAATGAGTATAGGGTAATATTGTAATTACATAATTATTTCTCTACTACAAATAAGAAGTTTAGGGCAACACAATTGTACACATTATTTCTCTCAATCTCTTTTTTCTATATTCTTCTCTTCTACTCTCTCCAAACCCTAATCTTGATTTTACATTTTCACTGTTAAAAATAAAAATAAAAAAAAATTCCCTGGGAGTAATGACTAAAAATTCCTAGAAAACAAATCAGTATGAGATCAAGGCTTCACGGGGAGGTGTAAGAAAATCACGAGCAGTAAAGGGTAAGAAATGGTCAAAGCAGCTTAGTTCTAGTTGTATGGTGGCCCAAACTCTAAAAGCTCTTTGGTATGTTAGACAGTGATGAATCCAAAATCATTTGATGAAACATCCTTACCAAATCAACTCATCCATTCAATGTTGTGGCTAATGTTGCCTTACGTCTCATCCTTAATTAGGATGCCCGAAGATAGAGTGAAAGAGAATGCAGGGTGGGTTCCTGGGTTGGGTTTGGTATCCAAAAATCAAAAACTCCACTTGTCATCGTAGATGGGAAAACTTCAAGCTTTACTAACCTAAGGACCCCAAATTCAACCATTTCGGTTTACCCTCCAGTATATGTGTTGTAGCCAATAAACCAAAGGTGTCTGGTTGGAATGGTTCTCTAGTATTGAAGCAAAATCTTTTAATAAAATTAAAAAATGACCAATCAACTTATCAGGTTATGACATATTGTCCTAAGCAGCGGCGTAGATTTGTTTTCGGCAATTTAATTGACAGAAATAAGGCCTAGTGGTTTGGTGAAAAGTTTGCATTAAATAGCTATACACGAGGGAAGCTAACAAGGAAAGTCATTCCCAGTCTTGGAAACTCGTTAAACAAGAGTCAAAAGGTTTGTTTTCTCATCATGTCAACCTTGCTCAACAGGGAGAATCCATGATGTGGGGATACCCCCCCTTAAACTGTGTTTTTGTGACTGTTAAATGGGATCTCAAGCATTAGTATGTAGAGCTGAAACCATTCCATTGTACAAGCTAAAGATTAATGATATTCAATACTTAAGGGCTAGATCAACTACAGGATGATTCATTTGCACGTACCATGTTATTTTACTTCTATTCGTTTCATTGTAAAGGTAGTGTTTCAATTGGCCCCCTCCACCCACCAAAAAATATTTCAGACAACCCCAAATAAAAAATGGAAAAAAATTGTCAAGCTACAAAAGCAACTTATACAGGTTTGGACCCCTAACATGGCAACATTCCGAACTCCTAAATGGGAAAACTAAAGCAAGGAAAGGATATAAGTATTGAAATATATAAATCTGTAAGCACCACCAGGGAAGCCAACCAACCTCTGCACATCGCCTTCCATGGTCACAGCCAAACAATGGCTGTCCCCACAAGCAATTTGCCTTATCCGTAGACCTTGTAGTGCTTTGATTGGCTGAGGAGTAAACAAGTCACTAGAGTTTCCATGACCCAACCTCCCAAAATCACCCCTGTAAAATTTATAAAGAAACACGTTTAAGAAACTTGAGAACCATAGAACAAACACAGCAAGATAGTCAAAAAATAGAACAGTGATTCGTATAAAATGTTGGAATGCATCATACCATGGGACATCTAAGTTTAATTTTTAACATCTAGTAGTCTAAAATGTAGCAATGGACTGTCAATGTTTAACTAAACAACATACTGAGATCAAATTTTTTCTCCATGCATGTGAACCTGTCCAGTGATCATTGTCTAGCATAGCGGTAAAATACTTGTGCTAACACCAATAAAGTTCAGGGTTTGGGGTTTGGGTTTCATGTGTCGGACTTGAGGATGGTCCCTGAGTGCACATAATGCAAAAAAGTTATCCCTCCAAGCAAGCTTAGCTAACAATGATTAAATTAACTTTTTCCTTTTTGATTAACTGCTTAAATTTAGGATGACACTATGCATACATTTGAGTGCTTTCTTTTGTCATGTAAAGATCCACAAAACTCTACATGTTTTAAAGGATATATGGCAAGCAATACAAAACCATTTTTAAACCTCTTTTGTCATGTTGAACTTGATCACGTTTAAATTCTAAAGCATTAAAAGTTGAACTAATTTGGTTAATTGACTTGACTCCCTGAAGCTAAGTTTTAAACCCTTGATCAACACCTAAGTTTTAAACCCTTGTAGCTAAGTTTTTTTTTTTTTTTTTCTATATCAGTCCTGGTGCTGGGGGATTTCCAAGGCTGAAATTTTGCCTATCAGCAGTGTTTTGTAGAAGCTAGTCTCTAAGCTCATCCAAGATTATCCTTNAAATTTTGGCTATCAGCAGTGTTTTGTAGAAGCTAGTCTCTAAGCTCATCCAAGATTATCCTTGAAGGGGAATAATCAAGTATTCAAGTGTGACTTTCACAACTCTTTTCAGGGACTCGTACATGAACAAAGAGATTTTGCAAGTAATTTGCAACTCAGTTCAAACTAAAAGAGAAGTTTGACTACTATACACGAATGCTACAGGAAATTAAAGAGAATCGTGTTCTGAATGTTAAATGAGCTTCTCTCTAGGATTTTCTTCCTTTAATGAGTTCTTCATCTACTCTTAACCAAATCCCACCAAAACCTCCAGATCCTAATCCCAAAACACAAGATTATCAACCAAAATTATTAGAATTACAACCTATACTACCATCTAGTCACCAAAAACCACATGAACCAATATCATCCAGCTTACCTGATGGGCATTCAAAGAACCAGCAATCCTACGCATCACTTTTCAAGCAACCTTCTTCTCATGAACATGTGGATACAGAGCCAAAGATTGACAAGCCAGTAGTTTTCTATGAAGGGGAACCCGATTTTTACTTTACCAAGGAAGAGATTCAGACCTCAAGTTTGTCCTTGCAATATGATCTCATTGGTAAGTGTGCTTATGGTAGGCCCTCTCTAGGAGTTATTAAGGAGGTTANGGCCTCAAGTTTGTCCTTGCAATATGCTCTCATTGGTAAGTGTGCTTATGGTAGGCCCTCTCTAGGAGTTATTAAGGAGGTTATTCGATCTAAATGGAGTTTGAAGGGAGGGTTTGAAGTTGGTATTATTGACCAGAGGCATGTTCTCATAAGATTTCAGCTTCAAGAGGATTATGTCAAGGTTTGGTTAAAAGATGCTACATAGACCGAAGACTATTTATTTAGATTCTTTAAATGGTTTACAGCTTTTGTTCCTGGAGTTGAACCTTCCGTAGTTCCTATGTGGGTGTCTCTACCAGGTTTACCACTTAATTTTTTCAAGAAGCAGTTTCTGGAATTATTGATGAAGCCTATAGGCAAAATGTTGGCCTATGATCAGGCGACATTATCTTTGGCCAGACCAGGGGTTGCTAGAGTTTGTGTGGAGGTTAATCTACTGTCAAATAATCCATCCAGGATTTGGTTGGACATGGGAGATGAAGGGGCAAGATGGCAGAAGATTATCTATGAAAAGAGTAAAAAATACTGCAAGTCTTGCAGGAAGCAGGGCCATGGGGAAGACGACTGCCGAAGAAGAAAGGCTATCGATTTGGAAGTTGACGATAAAGGAAAAAATCCTTTGAGGACTGATACACAGACAGAAAAGGTAACTAATGATTAAGGGAAAAGGAAGCAAAGTGAGCAGGCTGGAAACCCCACAATGCAAACTAAGGAAAGAGGGTCTGGGTTTAGAAAGGATAAGGATAATTTGAGGCAACCTAATTTAACTGCCAAGAATAAAGGGGATGGATTCAGCCGAATAAGGGAGGAGAATTGAAAGATTCTACTACCAAAAATGGTAGCTGTAACACCGAAATTAATGAGGGAAGATCTTTGGAAGTCAGAAAAGAAGATATGCCAGACAAGGGAGAGCATTCAGGCAAAGATAACGTAGACCATAATGGAGAAGATTTCCTGCCAAAGGAAAGTATACAGCAGAAAGATATTGAGAAGATATTGGGTACCAGTCCACATGAGGTTCTAGAGGTGAGCTCTAATACAGAGCCCAACGAGGTTTCAAATTATTTAGGCCCAAAACATATTGCCAAAGCCCAAGAAATGCAATGCGAAGTTCATGAGAACCTGGAGAGTCGGGCAAAGGCAATCAATCTCACTAATCAACAGTTAAGGGAGTTGGATGAAGGACAAGGACTACGTATTTCTTCAGGAGTTCAAGAACCATCAGTAGTAAATCATATGTTGCATATTTCTCCTTCAAACGAGATGCCCAATTGTCAGCTGAATAATTTAAATGATGAGGAGGATGAGAATGGATTTTCTATTTCTTCTGAAGATGTCTCGGGCGATGGGATAGATGAGTCCTCATCCTTGTTGGATTATGGCCACTATAAGCAAGATTTTGAATCCTTAACAGTGGAGGCCGGGGAGAAATCAAAGTCCATTACTCCAGAAATGATGGCAGAAGTCCATAAAAATATTCACAGTCAAGGAGAGATAATTCCAAGCATGTCAGGGGAGGAGATTCAAAAGGCCTTGAAGCTAAGAGGTGTTTATTCAAAGGATGACTACGTTAAAAGGTCCTCTCTTCGTGAACAATCAAGGGGTTTTTACTCTAATGAGGAGGAGGCACCAGTAGTTCGAGAAAATGATTTCAATTCTTTTATGACAGCTTCTAAAAGGTTGATGTCAACATGCAATAAGGTTGAGATGCAAAAAAAGAGAAAAGAGGAGGAGTTGTCTGCTTTGGCTTTGGCACTTGATAAAGTCAAACCTATAATTATGACAAGATCAAGAACGTTCAAGTTGCCAAAGCCAAAGAAATCCTATGGATTTAGATATTATTAATTTTTTATGAGGACTCCTGCAGCCACTACGATTCCAGCATTGTCTTTCAGCTGGGTTATCACGATACTGTTTATCTAATTTTCTGCTGGACTGTCAGCTGGCTCATNGATTCCAGCATTGTCTTTCAACTGGGTTATCACGATACTGTTTATCTAATTTTCTGCTGGACTGTCAGCTGGCTCATATCCTCTGGACTCTTCGTTGATTGTATTTAAAGTTCTTTTATTATGTAAGGGGAAAGGTTTATGTTCTCTCCTCTCTTTATAATTTTGTTATTAATAAAATTTGCCTTAAATGGGTTTAACTTAAAAATAATAATAATATCAAAAGCATAAATAGCTGATAGTACTAAAAACCAAATTAGTATCCCAGAAAACTATAAAAAGGTTGACCTAGATATTCGATATTAATGATCATATGTGATTATGACTTGATTCAGATTGAATTTTAATTATATGTTTTAGCTTCACAGTACTTTTAGAATCCAAAAGTATATTGGGAAATTCTGACAGAGATTGTGAGATAACCCAGATGACCTGGTCATGCTATTGTCCACTTCGCCCAATGAGCACACGCTTTTGGAAAGCCTCAAGCTAGTTGAGAACACGCATCCACTCATTAACTCACCAATTGGTTTATTCTCAAGCAATGGGGGATTCTAGAGAAATGAAAATTTTAAATGCAGCACAAATGGAATAAAAAAGGGACGACAGAAAGACATTTTGCACTCTCACTTGTGCAACCATGAGAGAGAGGGAGAGACACTTTGGAGGTACATAAACCCAATTCATGGAGAAATCCTTGGGCTATTAACATCAAATTTGGGTACATAAAGGGCATTGGGTGTTTAACTTCAAGGATGAAGTGGTTATTTAGAGACTTACATACTCAAAGTTTAACAGAAAATCAATCAAAGACTATATATGGGTTAAAGCTTGGATTTGTGGGAATAGGCCAAGAGATGAATTATACCTTCCTAGACCTGTCTTTGAATACCTCATCTCGTTTTGTCATGTGTTTTCTAAAAATTTGTGTATTTAGAAGTTATGTATGGATACTTTCGGCCTATGAAATACGGATACTTTGTTAAGGTCGACGTATTCGTATCAGATATCATATTGGATACGATACTCGTCGGATACTCAAGAATATATATCGGATATACACCAAACGTATCCAACAATAAATAAAATATATGGATACTTTGCAGATACTTCTACAAGCAGAAAATTATGTATAATTTTTAATTTTAATCTTTACCGTTTTCTTTTAATTTCACATACATTGCAATACATCAACAAAAAATTCATATGACTTCAAAGACGGTACACATAGGTATTTTTCAAGTATTATCCATTAACAACAAATATTTCTAAGCAATGAATTGATTATCCATTATCCAGGTATCACATGTACAAAGAGTATAAGTGAGTTGATTACTCTATAATTTTAGCAACAAATACTTCTAAGCAAGGATTAAAATTTTATTTCGGTGTATTATTTCGATCACCTAGAAAATGAAAATGTTTCGACGTGCTTCAAAAACGTTTTGAGCAAGGATCAAAATTGCATTTTAATATATTGTTTCGATTACCTAAGAAACGGAAACGTTTTGAAAACGTTTCGACATGTTTTGGAAACGTTTCGACCTAGGAAGCACGGATACTTTCCACGGAGTGCCATGGCAGTATCAGACATGAGTCCCACACGGATACGGCTAGGACACGGCCGGACACATGTCCGACACGGTTAGAAGTGTCCTGAATAGTGAATTTAGTCGAACAGGACTAGGACACGACTAAGATACTTCTAGGACACTACAAAAATACGTCTAGGACACGACCAGAATACGTCTAGGTTATGGCCATGACACGGCCAATAATTTTTTTATTAAACAAACTTTTGCCTAGTAAAAATTTACTTTTTTTAATATATTTTTTGTTACGTAACTTATATACTATGAATATTAATAGATGAAAAAATGTTCAATGAAAATAATGGATATTTAATTTGATCTATTTCAATTTTAATCAAAAAAATAATATTTTACTAGGTCTTATTATTAATATTGTTATAATATATTCTTTATTTTTAATATATTATAACTCTATTATTATTTAAAAAATATATTATATTATTTTAATAATCGTATCCTTGTCGTACTTGTGTCCCATATTTTTAACTTTGTCATATCCCTGTGTCCGTATCATATCGAATACAACACCCATGTCCGTATCCGTGCTTAGGTTTCGACTCATTTCGAAAACAGAATCAAAAAATAAAAAATTTAAAGAATTATGTTTCCAAAACATTAGTCAAAAAATACCAAAGTATTTTGAAATACACTAAAACATTCCAAAACAATTGTGCAAATGCATTAAAATATTACAAAATATCTCAAAACATTATGAAACACTTCAAAGTATTAGAATTTTGATTCCATCACTAATTTGTTTCGGTCATCTTGAAAACAAAAATGTTTTGGACGTTTCAACCATTTCAAAATAAAATATTGATCTTTGGTTTAAACTCGTTTTAAAAATAGAATGAAAACAATTAAAAAATTAAAATTTATTTTTTCAGAATATTGGTCAAAATATATCAAAATATCTTAAAAATACCTTCAAAAATTCTAAAAATAATTATGCAAATGCATTAAAATATAACAAAACATTTCAAAACATTATGAAACAAATGCATTGGCTAATGCAAGTAATTCAACATATGTGACCTCCCATCTACTTCATTTTCTAGGATTATTGATTTTGGGGCTAATGCACACATATTTGGTATTTCCTCCCTATTTTCTAATCTTCATGCTTCTAGCTCACGTATTGTGTTAACTAATAGTTCTTTTCGACCAGTACGTTGGACTGGTGATCTCCATCCTACCCCGTCCATGCCGCTTACATTTGGTTTATTTGTTCCACACTGCCCTTTTAATTTGTTAACTGACTTTTTATAGTGTTCCGTGACATTTTCTCTATCTTTTTGTATTTTTCTGGACCTCCAAACAAAGGTGATTGGTTTGGGGTGGTCTTTATTACTTGAATTCTCCAATTCCAGTTCCAGACTTGAGTGCTACTATGTCTCCTCTCCAATTGCATTTTCGATTAGGTCATCCTTCGTGCAAAAGCCCAATCAACTTATTCCAAGTTTGAGTCCTTTTTTGTTAGAATGTAAGGCTTGTTAATNTTCCAGACTTGAGTGCTACTATGTCTCCTCTCCAATTGCATTTTCGATTAGGTCATCCTTCGTGCAGAAGCTCAATCAACTTATTCCAAGTTTGAGTCCTTTTTTGTTAGAATGTAAGGCTTGTTAATTAGGTAATAAACATTACCGTAGTTCGTTTCCTAATAGTTTGCAGAATAGTCAGTCATGTCCTTTTAATATTGTCTACTTAAACATTTGGGATCCTACAAGAATAAAAAATATTTTTGGCTTTCAGTGCTATGTAATCTTCATTGGTAATTTCTCTCATATGATTTGATTGTTTCTTATGAAAGATCGCTTCTGAGTTGCCTAAGGTTTTTGTCACTTTTTATAAATAAAATTTTGGTTCAACATGATAAACGGATTAAAGTGTTTCGTTCTGATAATGCTCTGAAGTATGGTCAATCATTTATGTATACGTTTTGTGCAGACCATGGTATTATGCATCAGATTATTTGTCCACACACATCCCACCAACATCGTGTTGCAATAAAACATTGTCATTTATTGGATGTTGCCCATACTTTAATGTTAATATGCATGTACCAAAACCCTATTGGGTTGATGTTGTTCTTACTTCTACTAACCTTATTAATTGAATGTCATCTTCCACCTTGAAAAACAAATCTCTATTTTCTTTGTTTTATCCCAATACACCTGCATTTGGTTTAACTCCTCATGTCTTCAGTTGTGTTACATTTGTCCATCCTCTTGGTCAAATTCATTTGCACTTTGCTCAATCAAGTGTCTTTTTGAGATATTCTCGTATTCAGAAAGATTATGCTACTACGACCTTGTTGCTCAACACTACTATGTCAATGCTGATGTTACCTTCTTCAAGTCTTCTTCCTTTTTTTCGTATGTCTGGTGACAATCTTTCTCTAGATTTAGTCTTTTCTAGTCTAGAGGAGCCCTTGTTGCTAATTGTACCAGATTGTGTGCCAACTATTTCTTACTCAACTATTTATGCTCCTCCACCACAGGTTTACTATCGTTCCACAGACAGACAGTCAGACAGATTGTTCTCTATGCTCTAGCTCCACAACACCTCCTGATTCTCTTGAGGTTCCACTTCCTGAGTCACTAGTTGATTCTTATGATACACCTATTGCATTGAGAAATGGTACTTGCACTTGTACTTAGCATCATATTTCTAATTTTGTTTGTTTTCATCGGTTTTCCTCATCTTTTTGTTATCTTACATCCTCTTTGTCATTCATTTATATTTGTTCCTAACTCTTTGATACCCGGCACTAGCTTCTCCTGGATGGCAGCTAGTTTTGGATAAGGAAATGAAGGTCCTTCATGAGAATCGAACATGGGATCTCACTTCTCTTCCACCTAATAAGCAGTCATTAGGTGTATAATGTGAAATCTCATCCTGATGGCTCTATTGGGTGTTTGATGTCACGGTTGGTTACCAAAGACTACAACCAAACATATGGCATGGTTTTCTCTAAAACCTTCTCCCTAGTTGCTTGTGTTAACACCATGAGAATTCTTCTTTCTGTTGTAGTCAGTTGCAGCTAGTGCACCTCTTTTCTTTCTCAAAGTCAAGTTTCTAGCTTGTTAGTTAAGATTTGAAGCCCCTACTTTATTATATGCTGGGATATTTGAAGAAGCGCAAGTTTGGAACCCTATACAAAAGGCTAGTCTCGATCTCACTTTTTTACACAAAGGTCTATAAAAGGAAGTATATATGATATAGCCTCTGGGACATGTTTCTGGAAAAGAATAGTTTGTCCGTCGTTTGAAGAAAGCATTGCATGGACTGAACCAATCACCAAGAGCTTGGTTTGATAAATTCAGTATTGTTTTCGTTAGTATGGTTTTCAGCGCTCTCCGTCAGACTATTCAATTTTCATACGACATTCTTCTAAAGGTGGTACTATTCTTATTGTGTATGCCAATGATTTAATTATTACTGGCGATGACTCTGATGATATTGCTTATTTCAAACACCACTTGGGGAAGTAGTTTCACATCACAGACCTAGGTCTCCTTCAATACTTTCTTGGGATTGAAGTTGTTCGGTTTCCAGTTTATGCCAAATGAAGTATGTGTTGGAATTATTGTCTGAAATTGGTATTCTTGGTGCCCGTCTAGTTGATACTCTTGTGGAATCTACAGCCAAGCTAGATGGTGAAAGTGGAGAAGTGTTTAGTGACACAGAGCATTATCAGAGGTTGGTCGGTAAGTTGATTTATCTCCCAATTACCCATCTTGATACTTCCATGGATTTTATAATACAACCAAAAGTAGATCATCTACCAGTACGACTACCTACCCAGTCAGTATCCCAATAATAGTCATAGATAGTGAAGACCGATATAATAATCATTTTCTGGATGTTTCTTTTGCATACGGTAAAATACGACAAACAATGTTCCAATGAGGCTTGCGAGGAACATGCATAAATTGACTAACCACACCAACTGCAAATGTAATATCAGGACATAGAACTTTGAGATAGATTAGTTTACCAACCAATCTTCGATAATGCCATATGTCATCAAACTTCTCCACTCTCAGCATCTAACTTGACTATATAATCCATGGGAGTATCAAAAGGACGAACACCGAGAGTACTAATTTTAGATAGTATATCCAATACGTACTTTTGTTGGCATAAATTGATATCTTTCTTTGACCGGAACAACCTCAATCCCAAGGAAATACCGAAAAAGACCTAGATCTTTAGTGTGACACTGTTTCCCTAAATGGAGCTTAAAACTGACAATACCATCGAATCATCACCACTAATGATAATGCCATCAACATATACAACGAGATTAATAACCCCTCCGATAAAACGACAAATAAACACTGAATGATTTGAAGTAGAGTGCCAAAAACCATACTTAAAGACCACAGAACTGAACTTATCAAACCAAGCATGTGGTGACTGTTTTAGACCATATAGTGCTTTATTCTGGCATCATACTAATTGTACCTTACCAAAAATAACATAATCTAGGGGTTGAACCATGTATACCTCCTTTAGTAAATCTCCATATAAAAAGGCATTCTGTATGTCCAATTGGTACAAGGGCCAATCATGTGAAGCTACAACTGAAATAAGAATTCCAACATAGTTAAGTAGAGCAACTGAATCAGACCCTTAATGTTGTTTTTCCAAAAATATTTCTCAAGGACACTTTTATAAAACAATTTTTCTCAATTAAAATAATCGAGACAACTACAATTATGGTACAAATCAAGAAGATTGTACCCAGAATTAAATGAATCACACAAACAATTCACTTAGGTCAACTTACCAACCTAGTTTGGTGATGAATTCCGACAAAGTTTTCAACAAGCTTATTCATTACCTAACTTCCAGTGGGCTTCAATTCTTCAAGCTTCAAAGTCAACCTTAGACCTATACAATCTATAGGTTTATGTGTGTGTGACTCACGGAATCATGTCAATGCTAAAATCCCTAAAAGAGGAAGCAAACCTAGGAGATGCAACTGACCTATCAATGCAATAGGAGGAATGAAAGAAAGCCGCAATCATTGGGGAAGTTGAAATCTACTCTATATGAAGTAGCTAACATGCATCGAAATAGTACTTTATCCCTAGAAGTCCAGTCAACTGGGTGCCTCCATGTATTTCATGGAGAACCACCTAGCTCTAGGTTTGAGTAGCATTTCAACCTTAATCAAAAGTGATAGTCACTTTTCTGGTAGGGTTTGATGAGAGATAGGTGAGGTGGGAGTCAACATGGAATCCATTTCAGGAATTTGCCAAATATATAGTTTTTATGACATAGAATATTTCCTCTGCAGTTGCATCAAATTCCACTGCCACATTCGCATGTAAATGCTGGCCAATTATTGAGCTAACTTGATGAGGAACTTAAATTTTGAGTCAACTACTGGTCTGTCGGCTTGAATCTGAAAGCCTAAAACTGCCAAACTTAACCCAAAGCAACAGTTCTAAAGATTAGAAGTATAAGTAACCGAAAACAACCACCAAGTCTTTCAAGAATCTTTTATTTATAACTCAAGTTTCATGTATCACAGGGTAAATGGATAACAACAGAAGAAACCTACTGCTTTCAGCATCTCAAGTAGTTCAGCAACACTTACTGACTGTTTTCAAACCAATTTAAAAACTAAGCCCAATTTCTTGAATGTAAATAACCACGGAATATTGTGGCAGAGAAAGCTGAGTCTTTCACAAAAACACTAAGAATAATTACTTCGGATAGCAATAGATTGAGAACATACCATCCCCAGCTGTACACTTGCATATGTGAATCCGAATATGCAGTTGTGTGATCAGCTCCACAAGTAACAGATACTATGTCCAGGCCATCCAATGCACTCAACTGAGTAGGAGAAAGTCGATCTTCAGCATCTCCATGGCCCAGCTGCCCATCCTCACCCCGTCCCCACGAACAAGCAACATTTCCAGCTGTAAAAATTGATGACATCATTTTTCCCCCTCTCCACCAACATTAGAGTAGAATTCAAATAGCAAACATACATAAATTGAAGTTAATTGTCAATTGAAGCAATAATAACAGAAGGATCAATAAAGTTAACAAGGTTTAAGATATACAATTTATACGTGATCATTAACTGATTAGAAGCCAAATGGATTCTTTATACTAATTTTGACTCAAATAAGAACCAGATGATCAACCAATTGGATGGAAGTAAAGAAATTTGTTCCAAAGAAGCTATAGTGTAGTTGTTACAGAATGGAAGCATGCCAATTTAGTTACCAAGGAATGTACATTGGATTGCGAATGAAACCCATAGCTTACTAGGAACCCAAGAACATTCAGATTCTAATAATGTACAATCAGAAATTATTTGGAGAGACCTTTCTAAATTGCAAGCATATTACTTGCTAAGCTATCTATAGATGCACATACATGTAATAAGAGGTATTAATTGAGCCGAGCCTCCCAAGCTTAGGTATGCTCCGGCTCGGCTCAAGTTTGTTGAAGCAGTGTTCAATCTCAGTTGGAGCCAGGGTAGCAAGCTCAGATTATTCCCCAAGTTTCGTTCAATAGAAGCTTGAGAATGAATCTCGAATCCAGAAATCAAAATCCCAAATTCAATTCCGTAAATTTCACATAAAAGTTACATAAATCCAAATCTAAACACAAACCCTCACATCAAAAAACTCCAAATCACTACAAAACTGGCAAATTGAATACACCACTGTGTATTAATTAGGATACATTGGACAACCTGTATGATCATTACCTGTTTCAGCTTCTAATACAAGCTTGTTGGGAGTAGGTGGGTGGTGATTCGATCTTGGGTTTGGAATGGGATGGTGGTGGATTGCAAAATCTATAGATCACGAGCTAGATAGAGATCGAGAGCCACACAGAGTTGAGGAAAGAAGAGTCTCATTGATGCAAAGCACCGAAGAAGAAGAATGGGGGAGAAAAAATAGAGATAGGACCACGGTTCAAAGTATCGGTTGAGACCGATACGACTCTGCATCTGCCTCAGCCACTACCAATACAATATAGATACACTATACACAAATAATACGAAACTCAATTGAATTGGTCTTGACTCGGTTACAACTCGGTGGTATTGGCACAACTCGGAGTCAAATTGGTTGACTCAGATCGAGTTAGACCGAGTCGGACTGATAGAACAAGATCTCAAACAAGCACCTATCCCAAGTCCAACAAGCTAGGTCGAATGGAGAGCTTGTTTAAGACGGGAGACACCCTTTTCCAAGGGGAAGCAAGACTAATATAGATTGAATTTCAAAGTCAGGAAAGGGAGAAAGAATCCCTATTCATGGGTTGATGATCGATTCAAGATGTGTGCATCAGATCCTCAATAAGAATCAATCAAAAAGGGGCTAATGAAAGCATTTGAAGGGACCTTCTTGTATGCTACTTAGTATCGGCAATACGTCTAAAAAAAATATCTAAAAATATCAAATTTAGATATTTGTACCCAGTCGAAGTAAGAAACCATGGCATATATGTTTGGAACAGATTTCATTTTGAGAGAGTTGAAAAAGCACTATCTCGTTAAAAGGTTCTATAGGAAAATCGACTCTAACAATTTTGTCACCGTCTATTAAAACAATCGGAAATGTTTCAAAAAAAGTAGGCATATGGCAAACAAAAAATTCACGACCAGCTAATGGAATGCAATTTCCTATTTAAGAATTTAGATCAAGTATCTTGTATCAAAACTTATTTCATACCCACAATTAGATATTGTGGGGGACCCTAATAGGATAAGATCTTTCGCTGGAAATGGATCCGAATGGGAAAATGGGGTGAGTCAGATTTATCGTAGCTATCCACGAATTTCATTTTTGAATTGAGGATTAATACTAAAATGACGACTCCTTCAGAAAAACGAAGTTATTCAAGTTCTTTTTCCCAAATAAGTCCCACTCCAACGGGTCGACGAGTCATCTACTTAAAAGGACCCTCCCGGCAATGCGCCCTTCCTTGAATTATTCGATCATGCAATACTTATTGAATACAAATAAAAAAATAAATTTCGACCCCGTCATAATTCTAAATCATTTCAAAACATTTTGCCTTTTTCCTTATTATCGGGCTTACCGCTATTAGAAATCGATCTAGACTAGATGCCAATAAGAGAACAGGACAAAGAACGTCACTTCGACGTTGGTTAAGCCAAGTGTCACGAACAACTGACACTAGGGGCATAAAAAGAGCAACTGCTAGCCATAAGACTTGAATACCAACTGTGAGGGAGGTATGGATAGATATTCAACTAGGGCTTGATAGGGTTCAAACAGAATCGGACAAGGGACTGACATTTCTTATCTAGATGCCTAGTCAAAGGGGGGAGAGCAATGAACTTGTAGCCTCAACTTCAATCGGTAAACTAAGTACTTCAACTTCAAGAAGGACTTCAACTATTAAAATTAACGACTTCAACTTCAATGGATAAACCTACTTCTCATACTAAATTGACTTATTTACGAATTACTTTATTTGACTTTTCTAAAGTGAAATTCCAGAGTAAAGGCTAGTGAACCAAGGGAACTGATTGGAACATATAGTCTGCAAAGATGGATTCAAAATGGACCCGAATCAATTTCTCATAAAGAATGGTTGATAACCATTAATTCCTCTAGACGCTTTTTTTGAACTTTCAAATGAGTAGAGAATTTAGTATGAGAAATTGATCCGGGTCCATTTTGAATCCATCTTTGCAGACTATATGTTCCAATCAGTTCCCTTAGTTCACTAGCCTTTACTCTGGAATTCCACTTTAGAAAAGTCAAATAAAGTAATTCGTAAAGAAGTGAATTTAGTATGAGAAGTAGGTTTATCCATTGAAGTTGAAGTCGTTAATTTTAGTAGTTGATGTCCTTCTTGAAGTTGAAGTACTTAGTTTACCGATTGAAGTTGAGGCTACAAGTTCATTGCTCCCCCCCCCCCTTTGACTAGGCATCTAGATAAGAAATGTCAGTCCCTTGTCCGATTTTGTTCGAGCCCTATCAAGCCCTAGTTGAATATCTATCCATACCTCCCTCACAGTTGGTATTCAAGTCTTATGGCTAACAGTTGCTCTTTTTATGCCCCTAGTGTCAGTTGTTCGTGACACTTATTTCATTCTCATGAGACTTGGCTTAACCAACGTCAAAGTGAAGTTCTTTGTCCTGTTCTCTTATTGGCATCTAGTGTAGATTGATTTCTAATAGCGGCAAGCTCTTTTAGGCTTTGCACTTCTGACCTCTCAACCAAAACACAAATCAACCAACAGCCTTTCTTCAACCACGAGTGCGGCTCAATGGTGGTCGGTGAATAGCGATTCCACCTCAACAACAAACGATAACTCATAGTAATCACCCCAACCGGCTCTGATACCATGCAAACAGCACAACCAACGAGGGAGAAAGAGAGAGAAACGTAATTGAATAGGGAATAACATTACTCCTTCCATTGACTAAAGAGTAATATATATAGTTACACATATGAGAATAAGGCAATGACTCTATAACTCCTCACTCACTAACAAATACAAAAAGAGCTTGACATGTTGTATCATATTCGGTGGGTATTATAAACCAAACAAACTTCAATAAGCCAAAAACGAGTGAAGCATAAGTCGAGCTTGAGCTACTCGGTTTGTTTAACACACTACACATGATTACAAACAAAATAAGTAAAAACAAGAACAATTTAAGCACAGAGGGAAACAGGAGCATTTAGGAATGGGGCAAGGATTGATGTTCAAAACATAATCTAAGCGTAGTGAGCATTCTCTAATGGCAAGAGTATCCGCACATTCAATGGACAAAAGAGTATGAATGAAAGATTATGTTATCAGCGAAAGAAAGGTGTGATCTATTGAAATGTGATTTTCTCCAAAAATCTAATAATCTAAAGTTACGAAGCATGTTGCCATTGTTCAAAATTTTCTTTTACAAATATGAGAAGATGTTGGTTGTTTAGAGAGAAGTGGAAACAACTATAGCAGTAAAGGTTGGCCAAATGAAGGGACAACCAATTATTTTGTAGGAAGCTCTTGGTTTCCCAAGTTGTATCAGAGTTGATACTCCACACAAATCAAAAGATTACATCAGAGGTACAAAATGTATCATGCGATAGAAAGGGCCAATTTTTATCAACATTACAAGCATGGTTGAGTACTGATAGCTTATTTGTAATCATAAGAGGTGGGAGATTGATTGTAGGTCCCAGGAATGAAAATGGGTCGACGTAAATTCGACTTTAGGAGTATTAGCTTGCTGAAATCATAGAAAAGGCATGCTGGAATTTCTACAAGCAACTTATTATGATGGTGTCAAATTTATTTAATGCGTAAAGCGAACAGAAGCGCTCAATTCTCCTGAGGCCTAGGTAAGAAGTGTGAAGTAAAGTGAGAGCTTCATCGAAGGGAGGAGAACAATATAAAAGCCAAGCAAATATTTTAGTTTAGTTACTATGTAATATAAAGTTTCAACTTCTCAAATACTAAATATTCAAATGCAACTCAAATCATAAACATTTAAATTGAAATGCACATGAATAATATCTCAAAATTTCTGGAAGAGAAGAGAAAGAATAAGTTGGCCTAGTGGGTTTTAGCCTCCAAGTCACAGATGGCTTTTCTGAAAGAAACTAGGGTGAATCAGATTCTTAGATCGCGATTTCAACCCTAATGTTGTTCCTCTCCAATTGCCCTAATTCTAATCAATTCTATCGATGAAATTTTAGGATTAGAAATATATATGGATCACGTGGCCGTCGGCGGTCACTGTGTACCCCATTTTTTATGAGATTGATAAAATCTAATAGTTTGTAATAGATATAGAAATCAAAATAAAAAATTTCTTAAAGCATTTGCTTCTTCGGATCTCAATTAAGCGAGAAGTGCTCGCCTTGGACGCTTAGTCTTCACTTGAGATACTCCAAGCGACTTGAGCTCACCTCTCAAATAGGCAATCACCTAGGCATTAGTT